TGAAGGTGCGCTCCGTGGTTCTGAAATCAGGCACTCATTCAACTCTAAACACTACTGTTGGCTAGGTGATGCCCTAGGAAATATATGTGATAGTTTGGTGTCAGATTTGTGTGTGTGTGTGTGTGTGTGTGTGTGTGTGTTTTAATAGAAATCCTAATGACCTGCCTCCCTTTTGGGGTTCCAGTAGTCATAAGCAGTAATGTCTTAGGTTGGATTAACCAAAAACAATTCATGTAATAATAACAAAAAAGAACTGTCCGAAGGGATCACTCCTCCCTCTTCACCAGTTCAGTTAGTGCAACTCGTATAAACCTCCTTGTCAGGCACAGAGCATACGTCCATGATTATCCCTATCTTGCTATCCTTGCTTCTAAAAACTTTGTAGGCTTCTCTGAGACATCTCACAAACTTGTTAAAGATTGCCAGTTTCTGGTAGGGTGCTCATTTAAATGAGGATGATCTGGTTGGCTACCGTTTGGATAGTCATCATCAATCAGAATGCTATCTAGCCCGAACTTTGAAACAATCCCAGTATGTTGAATAGACAAAAGGTGGCTTTTTTTTGGTACCTATTTATGAACATCCTGTATACACACATCTTAAGTGGCCCACGATAGCTCTGTTGGTGAGACCAATATAGGTCCTTCAATCTTTCCATAATGTTTTTAATCATAAGCTTTGAGGCAATTGTTTCTACCTCAAAATTCTTAAAAATCTTTTATGGGATAGAAACAAGAGATTAATGGAGATCTTGCAAAAAAAGATAAATGGCACCACCGGAATACTACAAAACTGGGGAAAAATTAATTGAACCTATACTTTTGATAAATATTTATTTTTTGCAGAAGAAAAATGCATACTAGTTTAAGCTGTCATTATACTAACCTACATCCTATTTTTCATATTATTAGTAATACATAATGCGGTAGTTTATATTCAAAAATAAAACTAGAATGTATATACCTCATGTATTTATCCAGAAATACGCCAAGGTTACTATGGTTACGAAAAATCCATTACCTTTGAATACAGAATGAAAAAAGTTTGACTTAAAGTGTGTGCTATTTATTATAGCAAACATCAACAGCCTTCGGGAGGTTCCCTAACTGGACTCATTTTTCAGTGTCATGAGTGACCCACCATACTACTAGCTTATGGCCTATGCAAGGCAAAAAATCTGAACTGTATGCATTTTTAAATATATTTTGTACTAACTCAAGGTGCAGCAATGCCTTTGACTTTTAATGCTTCCTATTTAAGAGGAAGAAGAAAAAACATTTCCAACCACCCAGATGCTAAGTGGCTTCTGAAATGAAGGGCATCTCATTTACTCTTCCTACACCCGCCATGGCTGTGAGAACCATTGGCTACGCAACACAGAAGAATGTTGGTTCTCTGCAGAAACTTTAAAGGGAGCTACAAGGAATGAAGTAGAAGTAAGAAAAAAGTGCTGACATTTTGAACATTAAGGAGGGGAGCTTAAGCCAAGGTATCAAGGAAGTTTTGATAGCGCAGAAGGTAAAGAACGTTAAATGGTGTAGATGACTATAACCAGGAAAAACAGGATATGAAATGTTGCTCTTGAAGAAGTTTTAACATATTTCTAGCTACACTGAGTATTTTCTCATCAAGACTGTGATCAGATACATTAAGGCAAAATATGATTGACTAATAATTATGTAGTATTCCCTATAACTAGTAGCTAAATGTGCAAATGAAAATAAATTTTCACTGTAACATTATCCAAAAATGTAAGAATATAACATTCACTGCTGATGAATGATGCAAAATATTAAGAGTTTCTACCTGTATGTTAAGATGGTCATATGGTAGGATGATCTTCAATATTCAATAGCATTTATAACTTTTCATAATTAAAAACAGTATCATTTTTAGCTAGACTGTGTCTTTTCCTGAATTGACATTTCACGCTGTCGAAGTCCATTTGAGAGACCCCAAACTCTCACTATTGTTGACAGCCCCAGCCCTCATAACTACAAGTTCAACTCACGAACCAGTCATCGTGGAAAAGATATGAGGTCACAAATATCCTGACACAAAGACAAGCAGCGAGTGTCAACAGCATCACGGGCACGGGTTATGATGCAATATGACATGTAGTTAAAGTGTCTGCAGAGCCTAAAGCCCGCCCCAATGTCAGCCTTCTCCCTGCTGCCTCAGGCGCAATCCCTTTCCCATGCTGCCTTCTCTGGGGCTCCTGGTGGAAGCTGGGAAGATACACATGACCTATGTTCAGTACCTGTCACAGGTGTAACATCTTGGAGTTGAAAGGGATCTTTAGCACCATGTTATTTGGTGGTCATGTCACTGGAGAATTTCTGGGAAAGTAGGCGCTCAGCCTCTGCCAACAGTAGACAAAGCACTCACTGTCGGTACTGTCACGGACTCACTTGCATTCCCCCAAATTCACATGTTGGAGCCTTAAACTCCAGTGTGACTAAATTTACAGGTAGGATTTTATTATTATTATTATTTAATATTTTTATTGATTTCAGAGAGAAAGGGAGAGGGAGAGAGAGAAACATCAATAATGAGAGAGAATCGTGGATCGGCTCCCTCCTGCACGCCCCATACTGGGGATCGAGCCCACAATCTGGCCATGTGCCCTGACTGGGTCTCAAAAGGGGACATCCTGGTTCATAGGTTGACGCTCAACCACTGAGCCACACCAGCTGGGCTAAAGAAGACACAACGGGGGAGGGGGGAGGTTGTGCCAGAGGAAAGACCATGTGAGGACACAGCGAGAAGGCAGCTGTCTACAAGCCAAGGAGAGAGGCCTCAAGAGAAACCAAACCTGCCAACACAACCACTGAGCCACACCAGCTGGGCTAAAGGCAGGGCTTTTAAAGAGATGATTAAGGTTAAGTGAGGCCATAAGGGTAGGGACCTAATCCAATAGGACAGTGTCCTTATAAGAAGACACAACGGGGGGGGTGGGGGGGCGGGAGGTTGTGCCAGAGGGAAGACCATGTGAGGACACAGCGAGAAGGCAGCTGTCTGCAAGCCAAGGAGAGAGGCCTCAAGAGAAACCAAACCTGCCAACACCTGGATCTCACACTCCCTGCCTCCAGAACTGTGAGAAAAATATTCTATTGTCTAAACAAGTTCCTGGTGTGTTTTTCATTTCTTCTGAAGTAATTTCTGTGGTCTATGGTTTTTAGTTAACACCTTCAGATGTTGTTAGGACACAGTTAATCTATTCTTTTAGTTTCTCATATAAACTCTGCTTTTAACTGGAAATAATTATTATTCATCTTACTAAGTGCTACGAAAATGCTAGATGTTGTATACATGGCTCTAGGTTTCTTAAAAAATCTTGAAAATTGTACATTTTCCATTTTACAGGCTCAGAACCTAGGCCTCAGCGAAGTTAAGTAACTTGCTGAAGACCCCATTTTCTCCTCGTCATAGCCAGACTAGTCTGAGTTGATATAAATGTCTACCACTCACAGACCCTGAGACCTGGAGGAAGTTACTTAATCTTGTTATGCCTCAGTTTCCTCATCTGTGAAATGCGGGCAATGATAATATCTACCCCACAGAAGCAGCATTACAGAATTCTATCCAACCACAATGAACACAACAGAAAAGCAACTGTTCTTGTCCTTTGAAAGTTCTTGGACTAGAGGGGACACAAGGATGAAAACCCTGGGAATGCATTTGCGGGAGGGAATGCCACAGCCCTGTCCACAAACACCTCCCATCTGCATCTGTGTGTGTCCCCAGGAGGTCACAAGCACGAGACAGGAGGGACGAGGTCTGACCAATTCCCTCCCAGCCTCTGTTCGGGTCACTGATGTGAAGGAGTGAACGCATCCATGGTCCATGGTTAACCCTGCCTTTGATTCTAGCTTATGTGACCTTTCATGGGCCTCAGGTTTTTATAAGTCAGTATTTGATTAATGATGTCTCACTTGATAAATAAATGCAATACTATAAAATATAAACTCCATAATTAACACAAAAATATATTGTTATGATACATTATATAGCATGTATTATATAACATGTATTATAATTCGCTATGTTATAGATTATGACATATATAACATTCACATTCATTGAGCAGTGGACATTGGTTTTCAGTTGTTGCACATCCAATCTTTCATGCTCACTCCTTTCTACGAGTTTTTGATCTGCCCTTTGAGGGGAGGCCCTATTGTATGTGGCTTCCAATACCTGACAACATACATAATGTAAGCCTCTTGTGTCTCATGAGGTTTCCAACAATTCATTTTCCTTCCGTGTCCTTACGCTTTAATCTGGGCCTCGATATTAAGTTTTTTTCTCAAATTGTCTAAAATTCAGACACCACTGAACTGAGTCAAACTTCTGAGTCTTAAGAGTAGTCCACATTCATGTGGATTTCATCGTAGTTATCACATGTGACAGTGGAATCTGTTTGAAATGACATCACTGACTCAATTACAAGCTGGGGACCGTGTGGGGCCCAGCTTCAGCCCTGTGATCAATGGAGACAGAAGTCGTATCTTAGCTCTGTGTGTTGATGTATCTCCAAGGGCCCCTCTGCGCCTGAGCAAAGGTATATCCATAGACGGACGGGTGAGGAGTGACGGGCTCTACCGTAAAGCACGCGCAGTAGGACAGCCTCAAGTGAAGGGGAGGGGGTGCAGCAGGAGCTCTTTCCCATGAGTTCAGCGTTGGCTTCACCAGAAACGTGATGTGACCATAAAAATTAGGGAATTTTAGTGGCTCAACAAAATCACCAACCCAATTTTTAAAACCACAGTCTCAGATTACTATGATTATTGTTATCTGAAATACATGTGTGTATACACACACACACACACACACTCTCTCTCTCTCTCTCTCTCTCTCTCTCTCTCTCTCTCTCTCTCTCTCTCTCTCTCTCTCTCTCTCTCTCTCTCTCTCTCTCTCTAGTCTGCAACTGTATAAAATATATACGTAGTATTCTAATACACACTATCATAATATACTGACATGCATAGAGGTCTTACCTGTGGCTGTGTAGCTCTCTCCGATGCCCGAATAGATTCGCGTCCCGTCCATATACAGAGAATACTGAGTGATGATACCATTCGCTTTTTTGGGAGGATTCCAGGAGAGGAACAACGAATTGGCCAGCGATTTGGCTACTGGTGCCTGAACCTCTTGTGGGGCTGTGGGGAGAAAAGAGGATTTACAGAGTCTAAGTTTACTTTTCTCATTTAAACTTTTCAGACCCAGGCCAATACATCATGGAATAAACCCGAAATCCCATGCATGGACATGGTCCTGATCTGTGGGCAGCTTGTCAGTAACTGCTTGAGGAATAGAACTAAATAACTGTCCTGTATTGATGATATTTACATCAATGATGGATGGGAAGTACTCTCACGGTTCACTTGACTGACCTGTTACTTCGTCAAAGGTATTATTGGCCCATAATCTCTACTTGGGGGCGGTGTGATTAAAGCAAATTAGACAGGTAAGTCCCTGCCTTCCAGGAGCTTTTGATCTAAGCTGGGCCACGCTGATCCGAGTGGTTTGTGACAGATATGAGAAGTGTATGTGTAACCACAGAAACAGGCAGAAAGTGCAGAAGCAATTTAAATAGTTCGGTATGGAAACTACATTGTGTGCAAGTCTTTCTTTTAAAATGGGGTTTGTTGATTTTCTGTAATGGTCAGTGAACTAGAGTCACAGGAACTAAAAGCTTTTAAAATTTTATCCTACACATACCTATTGCTTGGTAAATTGGCAATGAAGTTATTTTTTTTTATTTACTGACTTGAGAGAGAGAGAAGGCAGGGGGGAGAGGGAGAGAAGGAAAAAGAGAGAGAGATTTGTTCCACTTATCTACTCATTCATTGGTTGATTCTTGTATGTGCCCTGACCAGGGATAGAACCTGCAACCTTGGCATATCACAAACTCACTGTAAGCAACTGAGCTATCCGGCCAGGGTGGCAATACACTTAAAGAAAATCTGGAAATCAGGAATTCCTTAAATCCTAGAAAAGAAGTAAATGATGAACTGGGGGAACAGAAATCTCACTGGGGTGCGGCTGTCAGGTAGACCTGAAGGGAACTACCAGAACCTGGACAGAGGGCGTAGTGGATGTGGAGAAAACAACAAGAGAGAGAGGACAATCTGCCCCACACGGAAGCGGTGGCCATATGTGAGAGGATGACCGTGTGCCCAGCAGAAGCGATGGCCCATTAAGAAGCATTGCTATTCTCAGTGGACCAGAGAGAACATCGAGAAAATGCGGAAGATGGGTCCTGATGGCTAGTCCAGGTGAGGGGGGTGGGGTTAGGTCAGGTGTATAGCACGGAGAATAAAGGGTGACAAGAAGGATTTCACACAAAGTTCTTTATTCTGTCATGGTGCCAGGGTATGGGCACCGTCCTTAGGTTACATTCCTTTTGTGTAGGAGGCACCTGCTACACAATTGAAAAGAATACCTGGGCCCTAGCGGGTTTGGCTCAATGAAGAGAACGCCTGCCCATGGACTGAAGAGTCTCAGGTTGAAATCCGGTCAAGGGCATGTACCTCGGTTGCAGGTTTGATCCCCGGCCCTGGGTCGGGGTGCATGCAGGAGGCAACCAATCAATGTGTCTCTGTCACATTGATGTTTCTCTCTGTGTGTGTCTCTCCCCATTCCTTCCACTCTCTCTCTAAAAAAAAAAAAAAATCAATGGGAAAATATCCTTGAGTGAGGATTAACACCAACAAAAGAAAAGAAGACCTGGGAAGAAGAGTAAGAATGGATACTGGAAAGAGACAGACGGACTCTCGCCCCCTGAAGATCAAGCTTGGAAGGCTGCTAAGTAACGTTATAAGCAGACAGTAAAAGACATGGGCTCCCCCTCACCCGGGAGAGCGGAACAGGAGCTAACGGGGCCTCCCAGTGCTGAGAGCGGTTACTCCCTGAAGTGACGCGTTCTGATGTCTGAGCAAAGCTTTCCCTTCGGAGCGCTAAAATCTCTCCTTTCCCGCTGCCTTCTTCACATGTGCTTTCTGAAACAGTCATGTATGCCAACAGTGTGCAGGTTCTGGGCAAACAGGAGCGAGACCCAGGTCGAAGGAACGGAGCAGTGATTAGGAATGTCTCCGCTGGCCTTAGGAGGTCCCATCGCGGGGAAACAATAGTTGCCTGTGCTGGTGTTGAGCAGTTAAGAGAGACCGTGGAAATCAACCCTTTGGTTCTCAATTTCATACGGAGCCATACAATCAATTCTTTTTAGTCAGACTGTCTCTAGATTTACTTCTGAGCCATAGTAAAATGAGGAAGCTTTCATTAATCTTTCAGATGCTTCATATTAATGACAAGGCTCTTGCATGAACAATGTAACAGCAATTAAAAAGCCCATTAATCTGCATTACAGCTATTAAAGATGCATGTCATTAAAGGGTATGGAGTTTGATTCATTTTCACACCACCCCCCAAAAATGGAGCAATTATGGCCTGGCAATGCACTTTGTCATCAAATTAGGTTGGGGTTTTCCAGCAAATGGCCTTGCAGCATTTAGCTCTTCTCCTATTTTATTATTCATGACTGAAATGTGGAAGTCAAGACCTTTGAAATTACTTTACCTTCTTGTGGAGTAGAGATGTTCAGGGCACGCGAGCTCTCGGTGCAGCCGGCCAGAGTGCAGGCAGCGAGGGTCACCGCATAGTTTCTGAAGGGGAGCAAGCCTGTCAGTACGCCTGCAAGAAAGGAGGAAAGGGGTTCGCATGTTTACTGTCAGCTGCTATAAGGAATACGATTGGGGTGTGCGTGTGTGTTTGTGTGTGTGTGTGTGTGTGTGAGAGAGAGAGAGAGAGAGAGAGAGAGAGGTGAAGACACAGACATCAAGGGATAAAAAACAAAAGCATATGTCTCTCTCCTTCATCTTCCTGCCTGTGTGCTCACTGCAGAATGGAATGACCAGTGAAGAGAAGGTGAGACCAACATATTGTTCAGGCAGCTCTAAACTGTACCTGATGTGGCCTGAGATACTTCCCCCGGAGAATGGGGGTGCCTCACAGAGTTCAGGCAAGCAGAGCCTAGCGTGTCCAGTAGGTGTATAGTACACTACCCCATTCCAGGAGCCCGGACCTTTCGAGGAGGCAAAACTGTCATTTCCTTCAGCCTAGAATTTTTCAATCATATTTCACTAGAATCCTTTGTATGCACCCCATCTCTTACCACACTTCAGGAAATGCTACTCCCAAGAGTAGCTTCACTGTCTCAATGGTAAGATACACACATACAAACTATTCATTCATGTTGTAACTACCAAGCCTACGGAGGCTAGTTCCCTTTGCTCATGACTTGCTTTATGTGGCCTATGGGGGCTGCACCGGGATGGATTAAAGTTGCCACTTTAATAAAAGTTCTGCAATTGCCAAAGAAAGAGAACACGGGCATTCTCTCCAAGACTGAGGAAGGTAGCCCTTCTTGGATGTATGCCTAGAGATCGTGGAGCAATTGACCTAATGGCCTTGCTTTAAGCGTCAGAATCAAGCTCACATTATATACTCTCCAGGAAGAAAAGGAGCACTACCGTGATAATATATCATCATCAAAAAGCATTGATCAATTTTTCTTCCACACACCCCTGGGAAGGGTGCCTTGGAATATTGGAATATAACTGATCTCTAGGAGGTTTCTATTATTATCCTTTTTTAATCCTCTCACGAGGACATTTTTTCCCACTGCTTTTCTGAGAATGGAAGGGTGGGTGGGAGGAGAGAGAGGGAGAGAGAGAGAGAAACATTGATATGAGACATATTGATTGGTTGCCTCCTGCACATCCCTCAACAGGGGCTGGAGATCAAACTTGCAAACCAAGTGTGTGTCCTTGACCGGGAATTGAACCCGTGACCCTTCAGTCTGAGGTCCGAGGCTCTATCCACTAACCCAAACCAGCCAGGGTTCTAGGAGGTTTCTAATCTAAGAAAGTATTAGCGCTAGAATGACCCTAAGAATAACAGTAACACAAAGATAAATAACAGTATAATATATAGATTAATACATGAGACCAAATGCCTGCATATACTCAAGGGAACAAGGCATTTATAAGATCTGACTTCCCAATCCCAGGTGATAGGAGATCTACACTTCAGAGAAAAAAGAGACAATCATTGAAAAGTATATTTCAGTAGATATTTAAAAATAATGAAAAATATATAGCGTGACATACTTACAAAGGAATCCTAGACAGAAAAACGCGCATCATTCTGTGTGCACAGAAAACCCAGTAAGAACATGGGGAAGTCTCCCTTTATGACCCTTGGGGTGTTCACAACAAAGAAGAATGCCCTGATGGTGAGAACTTCTAAGACTGGCTGGGACTTAAACCTCTTTCTTTGGGACACATCACAGAGCAGACTCTTCCCTTTGAACCTGAGACCATCGCTACCCCCAGGCAGGCCGGACGAACCCTCCGACGCCCTTTCAGTCACAGAACATGAGAAAATGGTCCCCACGAAGTCAGGAAAACCGCCAGTCCCTTTTGATAATGGAAGACGGCGAGTTGGAAAAGCCCTTCAGTAAGCAAGAAGTCGGCATTATTGATGTCTTAAAAGTGTTAGCATCCCATGGAACACGGCCATGTTGGTGTCCCGATGAAACCACTGGCACCGAGGGCCCCAGAACGCTCAGGGCGAAGCGATAATGCACTCTGCGTTAATGCACAGCATTGAGAGTCCCGCCCTGCCACCAAGGGAGCGGGAAGGAAACTGAAGTCTATCCCCTCTGACATGAGAGACGGTGGGTGCAGAGAGCCCGGCTGAGAGGGCTGAGAGAGGGGGCAGGCACTGGACTGAGGGGAGGGAGTCTGAGAGCCCAGGTCAGTGTGCCACACCCGTGTTCTGGGGACTTCCTCCCCTTAAAGGGGAAGGGCCTACCGGAGAACCTGGTCCCGGTAAAGCCCTTCTCCATGACTCGGGGGAGCTCCCCGAACGCAAAGATATGTCCCCTTACGTCTTTATTTGTCCTATTACCCAGCAGCTATCATGGTCATTTACAAAAAGTGGACACTCAATGTTTGACCAAAAAAATGAAGACTTCTCACTAGAAGAGGAAGCCTACCCTCTCCCCCCTTCTCCAGGGACCCAGCAAAGGACAAGACACTGTTTCTTTTGACCTAGGAGATAATTATTTCCAGCCTGGACGCCGTGGCTCAGTGGTTGAGCACTGACCTATGAACCAGGAGGTCAGGGTTGGATTCCCAGGTCAGGGCACATGCCCAGGTTGTGGGCTCGATCCCCTGTGTGGGGCGTGCAGGAGGCAGGCAATCCATGATGCTCTCTCATCATTGATGTTTCTCTCTTTCTCTCCCTCTCCCTTCCTCTCTGAAATCAATAAACATTTTTAAAAAGATTATTTCCAGGGTTTCCTTTCCTTTGCTCTCACCTCCACTTTCAAAGGAGCTGAAGAGAGATATTAATAACTGGAGGCAGCTGGATGGCCTGGGAAAGTGGCCGAGGAGCCCACAGGAGCCATGGGGGCTTTGGTGCCTCTGATCCTGTGTGTGTGTTTGGGGGGAGGGGCAGGAAGACCACCCAGGAGCCAGCCTGGACATGGAGACGTGATCATGAACTCCTCCGACTCAACAAAGACAAGTTTAAATGCTCTGGAGACGCGGCATGAGACACACTGCAAAATGGCACCTTTTTAAAAAAGCCAAAGGCACTGGGACAAGAAGCAGGGTCTCTCTTTCTATT